CTGAGGCTGGTCTTCAAGAGCCTTGACAAAAAGAACGATGGTAAGTATGTTAGTAGTGTATTGGTGAACTATTACGAGCGTTGTCTTGAATTATAGATGTTTTAGTCTCTTTAATGCTCATTTTGTCGTCTTTCTTTTTGTCTTATGTCATATGAAGTCATATTAAGGCCACCTTTGACTCCCTAGTTGAGAACCACTGTTTTAGATGTTAAAATCACGTTTCCTTTTAAAACTGCAGGTCGCATAGATTCACAGGAGATCATGCAGTCACTAAGAGACCTCGAGGTTCATATATCTGAGGAACAGGCTGAAAAGATCCTCAAGAGGTAATTTGTTTTATTGATTGTATCTGTTCAACCCCCTTCATTCTCTTTAGCCTTTTATTCGCAGCTAATAATTCAGACCTGACTGGGAACCCTCGCCTCAAAACAGCACGTGTTATACAACACGTCTCCTGGTTCTGATTTTTCAGCATGTTTATTTGACATTCTTTGACGAGCCAATACCCAAGAGTTTTTTAGAGCTCATTTTAGAGCTCCTAAAAGAAACCAGAATCACATATACAAACTAATTGCTATTTTTTATTTTCTGTCTCTGTGTATGTGTGTAAATGTCTTTGGTCGTACGCGTTCTGTCTCTGTTTCTTTATCACTCTCTCCTTCTTGTGATCCCACCCCCACTCTCTCTCTCTGCTCATCTTATCAGAATAAGGAGGGGTTATATATGTGCCCCTATAATGTAGTAAGTAGTGGTCTTATCCCTGCATGTTTGCCTTGCTCTGCTTTTTCATTTCATCTGCTGTTTCATCTGTGCTGTTTTCATTTTGCATTTTTGAGGTAATTTTTTTTCTCTCTCTCTCAGAAGCTATTTTGTCTCATGTGGGTAGTGCTTTGGAAATATTAAGTAAGCTAATGATGCCTATATTTTAGGATTTTTTGACAAATAACAACGAAACTCTTAGCAGAAGAAAGTTTTCGTAAATTATTAAAGAAGAATTCTAAATGCGATAGATCTGAAATGCTGAAACCAGGGACATTTTTGCATGTGAATAATTTTTATTTTCTAGCTGCTTGACTGTACATGATTAATTTCAGGAGAGGTTTTGCAAATCTAAGCCGTTTTTATGGAAGTGTGTATACATTTTAGAAAGTGTAAGCTGGTCTTTTTTTAAAAATAAGAAGCTGCTACCCAAAGCCAAAGAAGTTCCTGACATTTAGTTTTGGTCTCTTTTTGTCTTTTAATTTGAACAGTATGGATAAAAACGGTACGATGACTATTGATTGGAATGAATGGAGAGATTACCATCTGCTTCATCCTGCTGACAACATTCCTGAAATCATCCTCTACTGGAAACACTCTACGGTAAAACTAAACCACACCATCCTGCCATGTGCCTTACAGTTCAAAGTTTCCAGCTTTGCTTTTAGCTCCAACTTTCTCTCATTGAGGGGGTTATGGTGCTTTTTACAGTCTTTGTATTCTGTGTAAATTGCATTCACCACACATCTCATTTAAACTGGTGATGTGCTGCCACCTCAGTCATTCAGTCCTTCTAAGCCCACTTAGTTAAATGTGTTTCCTTGCACTTGAAATACTCCTGAATGGGACAAAAGGGGGTCACTGTCTGATCCTGTCAAACAGATCAACGGTGCTCTGACGTCACCGACTTGACCTTTTTGAGCCAGGAGAGGTAGATGTGTCCACCTCATGGATTATTCTAACACTGTGTGTCCCCAGGTGAACAGATAAATCACACTTATATTTTTCACAGAAGAGTAATTTCACTTTGATTTAAAAATTAAATTTCTGGATTTCTGTCATTATTCATAATTACAGTTTCTGTATTTTGAGGATCAAAAAAATGAAATACAGCCACCCAAAACCAATGAAGATCAATTTAACGTCATATTAAAACTGGATGATATAAAAAGGACTGAACTAAATGTATAAATATCCATGGAAAAGAGTAAGACAGATACCTCTCATCTTTTAGTATGCAGTAATCTCGAGATTCTGTAGCACAGAAACACAAGAATAATTTTTCTAGTCCTATTGATGGATCATCTAACTGGTTGATTGTCCATTCATTAAATTCTCTTGTGCATGTAATCTCACTCCACATGATGTCATTTCCTCTGTGCAGATATTTGATGTAGGGGAAAGTATGTTGGTCCCTGATGAGTTTACGGCAGAGGAGAAGAAAACGGGGATGTTGTGGCGACACCTGGTAGCAGGAGGTGGAGCTGGTGCAGTGTCCCGTACCTGCACCGCACCCCTGGACCGCCTTAAGGTTCTCATGCAGGTATGAGACCCCCTGACGCTACCTGTACAGAACGTATAGCACACATCATATGATCAATGAATAATACACAGTTAAGTTTGGAAACCTACATTATATTTTTTTAGATTTATATTATATTACGGTAGACATATATTACTTTATACATTTATATTTTATACATATTAAGATGTATGATTATTTATATGTGAAATATTTTTACAGGTTAAAATAACTTTATTCTATTTGAATATTCAAAATGTAGTTTATTCCTGTGAGGGCAAAGCTCAATTTTCAGCAGCCATTACTCCAGTCTTCAGTGCCA